GGGGGGGCGGCGGCGGCGGCGGCGGCGGCGGTGGCTACTCCCGCGTTCGGTGAGGCGGGCGGCGGCGCGCTCCGGGGCGGTAGTGGAGTGGGGAAGGAGGGCAGTGGGAACGGTCACGGGGCGGGGGCAGACCTGGGGAACAACAAGGAGCAGCAGCGCCTCGATTCGCTGTCACTGCAACCCTCTGATGCGGGGGACCCCTCGGCGATGATGGGCCTCCTCCACCAAGACGACATGTTTGACTTCGGCATGCTCGACCGCGAGGGTGAGTTGAAGTCGGCGCCTGGAGACAGCACCCCTCCCGGCTCCGCAGTGGCTCGGCCTAACGGGGACGAGCACTCGACCCTGTTTTCGTTCTTGATGGAGTAGTTGTAAGGGAGAGCCCGTCGTGTTGTTGCCTAACCTCACGATGTTGTTGTTCTTTTGGTGTCCTGTTTAGCAATTGTACGGTGCACAAGGCGCTTGTGGCGCACACCCAATGGCTGGGGCTGCGCTACGTTAGCAGCAATGACGTGTGATCTTATGTGGAAACGGTGCGGGCTCATTCATCTCAAGAGCCAGGTTGCCTTTTAGTCGATACAGCCGCATGGTGGAGCAGTGAACGTAAGCAAAGGGATTATTTTTCTCCGGCCTGCCGGAAAAAAAAACAAGGATCAATAAAGGAAAATGGACACATGTAGAATAATGTTTTGCTTGGCCGATCGTCTCGTAGCTGAGAGTGTGATGCCAAGCCCCCCCAGTGTTGCCACGTTGTGGTGCCCATCGTGTGACGCGCCACCCGCTACTTGTCTAGGAAGCAGAGTAGACCACTTGTTGTTGAGAGGCGAGCTTCCCATTCCGTGGTAAAGGCCTCGTGTTTGTAGGCTTCGTTTCAGGGGGTTCGTGTGCGGGTGAGCGCCAGCATGTCGACGCGGCGTTCGATTTCCCCACCCTTCTTCTAATTTTTTTCGTGAGGAAAGCCCCGTTCGCATGTTTTGTATTTGTAGTGCGCATTAGAGTTTACTTGGGCGAGGGGTAGAGGGTGCTTTGGTTGAATCTCTTGGCTTCTGCAGGCGTTGAGCGCTTATTTGTGTAGTTGTCAGGGGCGATAACGCGCGCCCATGCCACGATCGTCACACGTGTAAGTACTCATTTTATTATTTTGTGGCTAGTAGGGGCATCGCGAATCGAGCGTCTTGAGTTGACTCTTTTTTATTATGTTGCTCGAACACACAAGAAGAGAACGGTGTCGTCGGTTGATCATAGAACCGAATTGCCGGGGGTGGAGAGCTGCAGTACGCGAGCCCTCGTCCAGTTTGTTCATTGTCTGGTGTCAAGACACGATTGTTGGTTGTAGTGAACGTGCTTGCTTGCGTCAACGCCAAAAACAGGCCGCAGTTGTCAAGGAGACGATGGAGCAACTTACGCCGCGAGTGGATACGTCCTATCAAGCTGTTGAAGAGGTCGATTTTCATGGTACAGTCACGAGAAAACGTGTAGAAGTGTAGGTATAGACATAGCTTTCGCGGCTTTTGACCTGATGATGTGTTTCGCCTCGGCTCAATGGAGTCAAGATGGTTGGACGTCTAATTCTTCGTTGATGGGTGGGTCCATCGTCGTCCGTCTAGAGTATAAGTACGATTTTTGTGTTTGATGTGTCTCATCGTTGGGCGTGGAGCAGGAGGGTGGCTCTCGGCCCGATAGTTTTTTTGTTAGTTTGCGACAGGGGTGATCGGGTTGACAACGACCCCGCAGGCAGCATCGAAGTGCTTGCGCACACACACAAACAAGGACGCCCGTGGCTATGATTTCGTCGTGTTGGTTTGAAGCAAGCGTTGCGCGAGGCGTATTCTCTCTGCTGGACGTCTAATTCTTCGTCGATGGGTGGGTCCATCGTCGCCCGTCTAGAGTATAAGTACGATTTTTGTGTTTTATGTGTCTCATCGTTGGGCGTGGAGCAGGAGGGTGGCTCTCGGCCCGATAATTTTTTTGTTAGTTTGCGACAGGGGTGATCGGGTTGACAACGACCCCGCAGGCAGCATCGAAGTGCTTGCGCACACACACAAACAAGGACGCCCGTGGCTATGATTTCGTCGTGTTGGTTTGAAGCAAGCGTTGCGCGAGGCGTATTCTCTCTGCATGCATATGGCGTTGCTGTTATGGTTCTGAATTTCTTGTCTTTGTCAGCGGAGTGAATTATTTAATTGATGTTACGCAGACTCGGGGGAGGAATACCCACACATCGATACTTGTGGTGGCTTGGGGGATTTTTTTTTTTTCACTTGAAATCAGCGCTCATAGCATCATTTGTGCCGTTTCCCCCCGCCGGTGTTTGCCATCGGGGTTGGGTTTTCGTCGCTTGGCAACGACCTTGTAAAACAAGCCCCCCCCTTGGTGTTTGCCGTCGGGATTGGGTTTTCGTCGCTTGGCAACGACCTTGTAAAACAAGCCCCCCCCTTGGTGTTTGCCGTCGGGATTGGGTTTTCGTCGCTTGGCAACGACCTTGTAAAACAAGCCCCCCCCTTGGTGTTTGCCGTCGGGATTGGGTTTTCGTCGCTTGGCAACGACCTTGTAAAACAAGCCCCCCCCTTGGTGTTTGCCGTCGGGATTGGGTTTTCGTCGCTTGGCAACGACCTTGTAAAACAAGCCCCCCCCTTGGTGTTTGCCGTCGGGATTGGGTTTTCGTCGCTTGGCAATGACGTTGTAAAACAAGCCAATTCACTTCGTGAACTCGGCAACCAGGTTACCGTTTTTTT